CACACGCACACGCACACGCACACGCACACACACGCGCACGCACGCACGCACACACACACACACGCACACACACACACGCACACGCACACACACACACGCACACACACGCACACACACGCAGACACACACGCACACACGCACACACGCACACACAGACACACAGACACGCAGGCACACACAGACACACACAGACACACACAGACACACACACAGACACACACAGACACACACAGACACACACAGACACACAGACACACAGACACAATGACACACAGGCACACAGACACACACACACACACACACACACACACACACGCACACTCGTTCACGTTTGCTGCCGCGCTTGAAGTATTGACATTTGCGCAAACCGCAGCACCTGGGCAACCTCGGACCAACATATACTGGCGTCAAAATGGCCATGGACGGCGAATGACCCCAGTCTTTTTTCTTATCGCACTGGAGGCCCGGGACCCGCAGACGGCGACGGGGACGACCCTCAGGGATCTCGACCATCCCGAGTTGATTTTGGATGGCCCCAGGGTCCTGCGAGGGTCTCCAGAAGCAGAAAACAACGTGAAACACGCAAGAGATGGATGTCGGCGCGGGCATGAACTCTCGATGTCGGCGCTGTTCGCTGGGACGACAGCGGAGCACGCGAGGGGTTCGGGGCCATCTGGGACACCAAGTCTGGCAAACATTGGCGCGCCCTCCCGCAACGCCGACCACGGCATTCCCGATGCGATGCCAACAGATCGAAATTTTTGAAATTTCGGCCAGTTGGAAGTGCCCACATATTGGTTTCACTCCCGCCGCTAGCTCGACCGCTTGCTGGCCCTAGTCCGACGCAGACAAACAACTGGCTTCACAGCGCGCTGGAGGCCGACGGCGACGGCGACGGCGAGCCGCGCCCGTGGCGACGGCGACGGCGACGACGCAGACGACGACCCGACGGCGACGGCGACGACCCGACGGCGAGCCGCGCCCTCGCCTCGCCAGCTGCCGCAGCGGCACAGCGCCGCCGCCCGTGGCCGAGGCGCGTTCGTGGAGCCGCTCACCTCGGCGGGCCCCGGGCTCCGGACCCCCCCGCCTCGGCCAGCAGCGGGGGCCTGCGCAGAGGACCGACCGTCCGGGCACCCCTCCGAGGGCGACGGCGGCGCTGCCGACCGCGACGCCGTCGCCGACGGCGGCCGGCAACCCGCTCTGCGACGGCGGCCGCGCCGGTGGGGCGCCGCCCTGCGACGGCGGCGGCGGCGCCGACGGGCGATGGCGACGACGACGACGGCGGGGCGTCCTGCGGCCAGGCACGCGCACAGCGCCTCCAGGTCCTGGCGGCGGCGTCGGCGGCGCGGGCGTCGACATCGGCGGCGTTGTGGGCGTCGGCGTCGTCGTCGGGGGAGGGCAGGAGGAGGAGGAGGAGGAGGAGGAGGAGGAGTACCAGTGTAAACCCCAAGACTCATGAACGATGCTGGGATACAGCCTCCCTCCAAGCTCCCTCTTCGTAGGCCCCATCTAATGAGTCACTTCCACCGAGGGAAATGCCCAGTTGAGAGACAACTGTGTGGAAATCCTGAAACGTACAAAAGCAACTGTCTCATGATATCAACGTCACGAGTCAAACTCACTTTTGCGCCCTGACGATCCTGAATCGTGCCAGAATGCCAGAGCACGATTCCTGTGACTTCAACACCGCGAATCTACATAACTGCTGCGCCCTGACAGTCTTGAACCGCTCGACAACACAACTTCTGGAATGTTAACCATGAGAAGCCGCGAAACTCCGGCAAATGTTGAAAAACGAATGCGCGCGGCGCTGAGGCGAGAGCCACATTTTGAAAAGGAGCCGCCCTTAACCCTTGAAGCAGTTGCCAATAACGAACAAATGTGCGCGGCGCTAAAGCGATAATCTCGTGTTTCAAAAGAAGCGCCCTCAATCCGTGAAGCTCTGGCACATTACAATAAACAGAACGAATGCGCGTGGCGCTACAGGAACCACATGTTGAAAATAAGCCGCCCTCGATCCTTAAATCCCTGGCCTCTGTTTAAAGCGAATGCGCGCGGCGCTACAGCGAGAACCGCATGTTGAAAACCACCCGCCCTCAATTCGTGAAGCTCTTGCAACTTGTTACAAACGAAAGCGCGTGGCGTTAAAGCGAGAACCACCTTTTGAAAACGAACCGCTCTCCATCAGAGAAACTCTTACACTAAAAAACGACTGTGCGCGGCGCTGAGGCGGGAACTGCATTTTGAAATCGAACCGCCCTTAATCCGTGAAACCTTGCCAATGCTTAAAACGAACGTGCGCGGCGCTACAACGAAAACCACATTTTGAAAACCACACGACATCAATCCGTGAAGCTCTTGCAAATGTTTCAGACAAGAGTGCGTGGCGCTACAGCGAGGGCCACATTTAAAAAAACACCGACCCTCAATCGTGAATCCACCTGTTTAAGACGAGTGTGCGCGGTGCTGAGGCCTGCGCCACATTTTGGAAGCGGCCCGTCCTCCATGTTTGAAACGGTAGCCAATTTCTTAGCTTCAGGCCCATACAAAGGTAAGGAAGTCTCAAGCGAAACGCCTGGCCCGCCCTTCCGACCGGCGTCGGGGTGCGACAGGGATGAATTATTCACAAGGACAAGGAATGGAGGAGGAGGAGGAGGACGAGGAGGAGGAGGAGGAGGAGGAAGAGAAGGAGGAGGAGGAGAGCGAAGGAGGATGAGGATGAGACGAAGGAGGATGAGGAGGAGGAGGGAGGAGGAGGAGGAGGAGGAAGAGGAGGAGGAGGAGGAGGGGGAGGAGTGAGAGGGGGAGGACAGTAGAGGGAGAACGAGGAGGGAGAGGAGGCGCACATAACCTCCATGTCCTGGCTGCGGACGGTGTCGTCGGTCGGCATCGGCGACGGCGACGGCGTGGGCGTCTTCGTCAGAGGAGGGCAGGAGGAGGGCAGGAGGATGAGGGTTACTTGGTTGCTACATGCTCTGTTGTGCCGTCCTCCTCACGTCCTCCTACACTGGCAAGTATGAGCTGTATCGAACCGCGCAATCGGATCAAATCCGAAACGGATCGGATCGACAACGAATCGTCCCGAATCGAATCGAAATCAGATCGCCGTGCCCAACTACCGCTGTTCCTGGCCGATGCGGGTGAACCGAACCAAATCGAATCGAATCGGAACCGCGGCCCCAGCCGGCGAATCACAACGTATCGAATCGGATCGTAGGCAACCCTGACTGGCTGCCTGCGTAGCTGCTCTACGCCCTAAGGGGCATGCATTCCGTTCCATGTCTATTTACCCCTTCCGTACCCGCGCTAACTTGCAGCCGTACTGAGGCCACTTCGCCTAAGTCGGTTGTTTCTTTTTCATGCAGTGCCAGCCTTGCCGTAGAGACTTTTCGATTTCAACCCTAGTCCGAGCAACGAGACAAGTAGGGGAGGAGGAGGAGGAGGAGGAGGAGGAGGAGGAGGAGGAGGAGGAGGAGGAGGAGAAGGAGTAGGAGGACAGGAGGAGGAGAGGAGGAGGGGGAGGAGGAGGAGGAGGAGGAGGAGGAGGATGACGAGGAGGGGGAGGAGGAGGAGGAGGAGAAGGAGATAACGAAAGGCGAGGATAAGGAGGAGGATGAGGAGGAGGAGGAGGAGGGAACGCTGCGCGGCCAGCCACACCATCATGGATCTGATGCAGCTTTTGCAGACGAGAATATTTTGATCGCAGCCAAACGCGCATCCATGCAGCTCGTGGCCTTGAAGCGGAGATTTCTGTACTTCGACTCGTTGCTTCTTCATGCCCCTGATGCGCATCGCTTTCTTTCGGTCGGGCGTGTCCTCCTACAGGCGGATTTTGGACGACAAATAAAACATAGTCAAGAAATACACCAAACTGATCAAACATGGTCAAACCATCGCCCTCAGACTCTTTTTCCCTATTTTTGGATGTTCCCCCTGTAGAGGGACGTGCCCGACTTAAACCTGGCTGGGAAGACTGATGCCTGCCACATTCTCCTGTCTCCGAGGACCGCGCTTGGCTTGGAGTTCAGGGTGGTTTTTCTTGTGTGAAGGGGGCCCTGGGACACACACACACACACACACACACACACACACACACACACACACACACACACACACACACACACACACACACACACACACACACACACACACACACACACACACACACACACACACACACACACACACACACACACGCCACACACACACACCACACACACTACACAAACACACACACACACAACACACACACACAGCACACACACACACACACACACACACACACGCACGGCACGCACGCACGCACGCACGCACGCGCACGCACGCACGCACGCACGCACGCACGCACGCACGCACGCACGCACACACACACACACACAACACACACACACACATTACGTAGACACACATCCCCAAATTCCCGCGCGGACCTCCCAGGCCCAGAGCCAAGAAATCCGCGCGGACCTCCCAGAGCCCCTCGCTGGCGCGCGGAGCGCGCCAGAGGATGCCAGCCGAGAAAGCGCCCTCCTCCTCTTCCACCTTAAAACAAGGCTAGGATCGGGATAAATCGCTCCAGAGCGTTCCGGAGCGCTCTCAGAGCGTTCCGGAACGCTCTGGAGCGGCCGCGGCGCCCAATACATCCTCCAAACCCGCCGATTCTCAGAGATTTCGAGTTATCCCGATCCGATTTTGTCCCGATCGTCGCGTCGTTTTACACCTCCTCCTTCCCAGACGTGCTTGCGTCGCGACAAGATCTCAGCGCAGGAGGCGTTTGTTGCCACCTTCGGCCCAGAGGGGCCCTCGCCCAGCACCGGGGCCGTCACAGCACGACTCGGGAGGAAACACTGGCCCCTGGGAAGTGGTCGGGACTTCCTGGAGCCTGCGAGGAGGAGGAGGAGGAGGAAGAGGAGGAGGAAGAGGAGGCGGAGGAGGAGGCGGAGGAGGAGGAGGAGGAGGCGGAGAGGAGGAGGAGGAGGAGGAGGGGGATCGCGCTCTGGAAAAACCGTCAGGACGCCGCACGTCTGGGGGAAGGGAGCCCCGCCCTCGAGGCTCGCAGGTGCTGACCCCTCCACCCTCGGCGGAGGGCCGGCGGAGAAGGTGGAGGGCGGCGGAAGTCAAACGAGGGCTCCTCCTCCTCCTCCTCCTCCTCCTCATCCTCCTCCTCCTCCTCCTCCTCCTCCTCCTCGGTTGCCGAGATACGTCAATGCCGTGGGGGGCCTCAGGGCTTCCAGAGCCCGCCACGTGTGGCCAGGTGTCTTTTTCCAACGCTCGGCCCAGGCGTGGCCAGGCCCGGTGATTGTATACACGTGTTCTGCACCCAGCGGGTGGCCTCTCCGTGGCCGGCCACGTGTGCTGTCCAGACTCCCCGCAGACAGCCCATGGGGACCTCACGGGGCCGCGCAGTGCCAAACTCAGGGCATCGCATGCCTGGGTGATGCTTGCACCCGGGCAAGCGGCAACGCCGTCTCCTGGCTGGCTGAGCGCGCTTGCGGACGGCCTCTGCCGCGCTGCGACGGAACAAGAGTGTCTGGGTTCTCCCTTCTGGCAAGTTCTGCACCCAACCTGCGAAGGTCGAGGGGCTATGGGTCTTCGGGCGTTTTCTCTGGCCACTCTGTCGGGCCTCCAGGGGCCTCCGAAAGTATCTGGATGCCTCTGGGGTCAGGATCCAGGACGGGAGCAGAACTTACATCTCTTCTCCCCTCCTCCTCCTCCTCCTCCTCCTCCTCCTCCTCCTCCTCCTCCTCCTCCTATCCCTCCTCCTCCTCCTCCTGAAGCGCCCTTCTCGTCATGCTTGTTACCCTTCTCCTCGTCCTCCTGCTGTCCTGTGCCCGCTTTCCTTCTCCGTCGTCTCCCTCTTCGTATCTCCTCGTCTTGATTCAACAGACTGTACAATTCCTTCCCTATTTCTGTCCTTTTTCCTCCCCCGTGTCCTTGTCCTCATGTATCGTTATCCGTCGTCCTACCCGCCCTTGTCCTTCATCATCATCATCTCCTCCTGCTCCTCCTTCTTCTCTCTCCTCCTCCCCCTGTCTCCTGCACGCCGCACATTGGCTGGCTGCACGTAAGAGTGAGCGCCTAGGCAAGAGAGACCTTCGATGCGCGGCTTTGGGTGACCGCAGGCAGGCCACATCCAAGGGCGCGCAAGCGTGCTGGGTGGACCCCTCTGGGCCGGCACCAGAGAGGTCACCCTGGCGAAAAGTCTTGCGCGTAGCCGAAGCAATTTTTCGTCCGCGGCGAGGGCGATCGCCAACGCGGTCGACCAGCTGGCGGGCCGTGCCGTGCAGGGGGAACGTGGGAGGAGGCCTCCAGCGTAGAGTTAGGCCGGGCATGTCCCCCTACAGGCGGATATTGGACGAACAAAAATTCAAAAACTGCTCAAACATAATCCAAACATAATCGACAAATCGTCCCCATACTTTTTGGGGGCTTTTTTTGCATATTCCTCCTGTAGAGGGACATGCCCGACTTCAGCGTAGGAGTCTTCGCCACGAGGTGTGCGCAGGCGGCCTCAGCCCCCTGCGGCCGGTGCACTGCCGAAGGCCCGGGCAGCGCGGCACAGCGTGGCCGAAGCAGGCACGGCTCGCGCAGGACTGCCCGGCGCGTATGCTCGCGACGCTCTCGCATCCCCGCGCCTGCACACGGGCTTAGCCTTCGGTCGGGCGTTTCCCCCTACAGGCGGATTTTGATGGATTTTGGACGAAAAATCAGAAAGACACTCAACAAATTATCCCAATAATAATAATTACCCTGCGACGTACCCAACCCACGTGCATCAAGTGGCAAGAGGAGTAGGCCAACATTAGCAGGAACAACGATAATGTAGGCGATGTGAATTGCTGTGCAAACTACATGGGATGCGCACGCATTGCACGGCTCACAGGACGACGATCGAAAGAACGAGGATTAAAGCCCCAGGCTCGCGTATGACGTCACTCCGCTGGGCCACCCAGCAGCCCTCGAAAGTGGTGACCGTTTCGCAGATCGCAGCCCCCCAAGGATGGCGAGGTCTAATCTGAATCCGAATATGTCCCCACTCCGCTGGGCCCTCCAGCAGCCCTCGAAAGTGGCGACAGTTTCGCAGATCGCAGCCCTTCGGGGATGGCGAAGTCGAGCTTGAGTCTGCGTAGGACCCACTCCGCTGGCCCCCCAGCAGCCCTCGAAAGTGGCGACGGTTTCGCAAATCGCAGTCCCCCAGGAATGGCGAGGTCGAATCTGAGTGCCCCACTCCACTGCCCCCCCCAGCAGCCCTCGAAACTGGCGACAATTTCGCAGATCGCAGCCCCCCACAGCGATGGCGAGGTCTAATCTGAGTCCCCGTGGGGGCTCACTCCGCTGGTCACCCCAGCAGCCCTCGAAAGTGGCGACGGTTTCGCAGATCGCAGCCCCCCACAGCGATGGCGAGGTCTAATCTGAGTCCCCGTGGGGCCTCACTCCGCTGGGCCCCCCAGCAGCCCTCGAAAGTGGCGACGGTTTCACATCACAGATCGCAGCCCCCCAGGGATGGCGAGATCTAATCTGAGTCCCCGTGGTGCCTCACTCCGCTGGGCCCCCCAGCAGCCCTCGAAAGTGGCGACAGTTTCACATCACAGATCGCAGCCCCCCAGGGATGGCGAGGTCTAATCGGAGTCCCCGTCCCCGTGGTGCCTCACTCCGCTGGACCCACCAGCAGTCCTCGAAAGTGGCGACAGTTTCACAGATCGCAGCCCCCACAGATGGCGAGGTCTAATCTGAATCCCCGTGGTGCCTCACTCCGCTGGACCCACCAGCAGCCCTCGAAAGTGGCGACAGTTTCACAGATCGCAGCCCCCCAGAGATGGCGAGGTCTAATCTGAGTCCGCGTGGTGCCTCACTCCGCTGGACCCACCAGCAGCCCTCGAAAGTGGTGACAGTTTCACAGATCGCAGCCCCCCCCCAGAGATGGCGAGGTCTAATCTGAGTCCCCGTGGTGCCTCACTCCGCTGGACCCACCAGCAGCCCTCGAAAGTGGCGACAGTTTCACAGATCGCAGCCCCCCCCCAGGGATGGCGAGGTCTAATCTGAATCCCCGTGGTGCCTCACTCCGCTGGACCCACCAGCAGCCCTCGAAAGTGGCGACAGTTTCACAGATCGCAGCCCCCCAGAGATGGCGAGGTCTAATCTGAATCCCCGTGGTGCCTCACTCCGCTGGACCCACCAGCAGCCCTCGAAAGTGGCGACAGTTTCACAGATCGCAGCCCCCCACAGATGGCGAGGTCTAATCTGAATCCCCGTGGTGCCTTACTCCGCTGGACCCACCAGCAGCCCTCGAAAGTGGCGACAGTTTCAGAGATCGCAGCCCCCCCCCAGAGATGGCGAGGTCTAATCTGAATCCCCGTGGTGCCTCACTCCGCTGGACCCACCAGCAGCCCTCAAAAGTGGCGACAGTTTCACAGATCGCAGCCCCCCAGCCCCCAGGGATGGCGAGGTCTAATCTGAATCCCCGTGGTGCCTCACTCCGCTGGACCCACCAGCAGCCCTCGAAAGTGGCGACAGTTTCACAGATCGCAGCCACCCCAGAGATGGCGAGGTCTAATCTGAATCCCCGTGGTGCCTCACTCCGCTGGACCCACCAGCAGCCCTCGAAAGTGGCGACAGTTTCACAGATCGCAGCCCCCACGAAGGGATGCAAGAGAAAAGAAGAGGAGGAGGAGGAGGAGGAGGGAGGAAGGAGGAGGAGGAGGAGGGGAGGAGGAGGAGAGAGGGAAAGAGGGGAGGGGGGCGGGAAGGAGGAGAAGGGAAGACGCGACCGCAGTGCTCTATTCAAAACGAGTACCCAACGCAGGAGGGCTGGGAATTAAAAGAATGGTGAACACAATCGTTCCCCGACTTTTTTGGGTGTGACTGCTTTGGATTTTCCTCCTACAAAAAGACAGGCCCGACTTACGCTTCGCCCCCCGCTCGTGCCGGCCACTGCGCGCGCCCGCGGCCGAGGGCGCCCGTGCGCCTCACGAGAAGGCCCCCCGCGGCCCGGCCGCCCTCGGGCGCTGCGCACCGGGGGGCGGGGGCGGGGGCCGTGGGCGCAGGGGCGAAGACGGGCGCGCCCTCGTGCGCCTTCGTGGGGGCCCCTTCCCTGGCACCCTCGGCCCCCCCCCCTCCCGCAAATCGATCGAGAGGAGCAGCAACGGAAGAAGCAGGTCCGAGAAATCCGCGCGGAGCTCTGGAAGTGCTGGTTTGTGCCGTGCCTCTCTTTGGAGACGGGATTGGGGTTGAGAAGTGTACACCTTCTGTGCACCTTCGGGGCCCCAGGGGTTCCTTTCGGGCCCGTTACTGCCACCCCCGATCGCCCCCCCACTCCCAGGCATCCCAGGTCTCCGATCTCTTGACATGCGCGGTCCACGAAGGTCTCGACCACTTCCCCCGGGCCCGTTCTCGTTTCGTTCTCCCTCCCGAAGTGCCTTTTGACGGTCCTGGGGCCCGGTGAAAGCTCCTGGAGGCCGAAAATAGAGAACAACAACATCCGTCTTGATTTTCTCAACGCGTTGGAGGTCAGGCGCCCCGATCCGAACAAAGCAGGCGCGGCTCCTCCGCGCCCAGCCACAGGCTCCCGCCGCTGCCGTCGCCGAGGTCGTCGGCGCCGTCTGCGCCTCCGGGCGGGCGGCCGTGGCGGCCCCAAGGATCTGAGGGCTAGTTCTCCCCTCGAACTCCACCCAGCGGCGGCCACGGTCGAGGCCGCCGTCGAGGCCGCAGCGGCGGCCTCGGCGGTCTCCGCGGCCGCGCCGCGGCGGAAACTGCTGCGCGGAAGGTTCGGAAGGTGGAGGTCAAGGGCTCTTGGCGGCGCGCGATGGGATATATATATATATATATATATATATAGGGGAAGGATGCTTAGAAGGAGGCTGCTTCTGAGACGGCGCCGGCCTGGCATCTATAGACGAGGCCCGCGCCTGGGGAGAAGCAGGGGTGCTTCTAAGAAGCCCTCCCCCCACCCCCCACCCCCCTCTGCGCGCGGCTGGCATGCGAGGGCCGCCTCTTCGCCCCGAGTCGCGCATGCGCGGCCCCAGGGCCCATGACGGCGAGAGGGAGGCCTCCCAGAGATCCCCCCCCGAAAGCTCGAACGGCGATAATATCAATAAGTACTCGATCCTCGGACCTCGATCCTTTTCGGCCTCCCTCCTCCTCCTCCTCCTCCTCCTCCTGCTCCTCCTCTTCCTCCTCCTCCTCCTCCTCCTCGCTCCTCCTCGTTCCTCCTCGCTCCTCCTCCTCCTCCTCCTCCTCCTCCTCGCTTCTCCTCCGCTCTCCTCCTCCGCTTCCTCCTCCTCCCCTCCTCGCTCTCCTCCTTTCCTCCTCCTCCTCCTCCTCCTCCTTCTCCTCTTCTCCTCCTCGCTCCTCCTCCTCGCTCCTCCTCCTCCTCCTCCTCCTCCTCCTCCTCCTCCTCCTCCTCCTCCTCCTCCTCCTCCTCCTCCTCCTCGGAAAGAGCGGCCGCGCTCCCACCCACCCGTGCGGGCGGCCGCCTGGCGGCGCGTCGGGGTCCGACTGCGGTGGCGGGGGCGCCGGCGGCGCCGCGGCCTGCGGAGCCCCGAAGAGGACGCACGCGCCAGGCAGGCTGCGGTCGCGCAGGAGGAACCCCTCCCAAGGCCCTACGTTTCTACGTTTCTCGCTATGCAGCGTCTTGTCGCGCGCCCCGCGGGCGCGGAGCGCTCTGCAGCGGCCCTCCAGGGCCGTGCGGGCACTCAGACAGCGGCCCCGGGAACCCGACCCCGAGGAAAGCAGGGAGCCAGGGACCAAATAATCACAGAGAAGGGAGAAGGGGGGCTCCCAAGGCCCTCGACCTCCACCTTCCACACCCTTCGGACGGCAGATGCCGCCCAGCAGCGGCCACGGTCGAGGCCGCCGTCGAGGCCGCAGCGGCGGCCTCGGCGGTCTCCGCGGCCGCGCGCCGCGGCGGAAACGGCTGCGCGGAAGGTTCGGAAGGCGGAGGTCAAGGGGTAGTCCCGGCTGGCGTCAAGAGGCTCCTAGGGCAGTCCCAACTGGCCTCGACAGGCCCGCCGAGTAGCTGGGGGCGGTCTCAACACCCCCGCGCCGCTTCCAGCGGCGCTCCTGGGGTGCTCCGCGCCCAAGGGTGGGGGTGTTGATGCTACTCAGGGGGGCCTCAAATCATTGAGAGAACACAGAAATTATCCCAGTGCGACCCTACCTAGGAGTTGGAGCATTTAGGAAAGCAACAGCTACATCAATACCGACAGCTACATTTACATCGACACCTGCATCTACATCTACATCAACATCAACAGCGAGACTCACATCTACATCTACATCGACACCTACATCTACACCTACAGCTACATCTACATCTACATCTACACCTACATCCACTTCTACACCTACACCTACATCTACATCTACACTGTCGCATTGGTTTTGCTTTTGATTTGCATTGCCTTTGCTTTTGCTCTTGCCTTTGCTTTTGCCTTTGCCTTTGCTTTTGCTGTTGCTTTTGCTGTTGGGTTTGCTTTGCTGTTGTGTTCGCTGTTGCTTTTGCTTGTGCGTTTGCTAAGCTAAGGTAAGCTAAGCTATGCTAAGCTAAGCTAAGCTACACTAGGCTAGGCTAGGCTAAGCTAAGCTAAGCTAAGCCAAGCCAAGCCAAGCTAAGCAAAGCTAAGCTAGGCTAGGCTAGGCTAGGCTAGGCTAGACTAGGCTAAGCTAAGCTAAGCTACGCTAAGCCAAGCTAAGCTACGCTAAGCAAAGCTAAGCTAGGCTAGGCAAAGCTAAGCTAAGCTAAGCTAAGATGAGATAAGCTAAGCTAAACTTAGCTAAACTTAGCTAAGCTAAGCTAAGCTAAGCTAAGCTGGGTGAGCCCAGGGGGCGCAACTGGGGGAACCACGGGGCGGATCCTGGGGGAACCGCCCGGGGCTGTTTACACTGCCCGGCCCTTAAGCTTACAGGGTAAGAACCCTTCTAGGCAGAGCCTGGGTAGGGAAATACTCAAAACATATTCCCAAATGGGCAAACATGTTCAAACATAAACCTGAGCTAAGATGAACCTAAGCTAAGCTAAGATGAAATCAGCTAAGTTAAGATGAGATAAGCAACGCTAAGCTAAAGGGACGTAACTGGGGGAACCGCGGGGCGGATGCTGGGGGAACCGCCCGGGGCGAGGTCCACTGCCCGGCCCTTTAAGCAAACCGAGTAAGAACCCTTCTAGGCAGAGCCTAGGCAGGGAACAAACCTTTGTTTTTGCCTCTTGGCGTCCTCTCTGGGGCCCCCTCGGGGCCTCGTCCAATCGTCATGGGAGCTCCTGGAGCCATCTTCAAGCAATGTTAGGCCGCCCCCAGGCGTTTCGGAAGCCCGTGAGGTGCCTGGGGGCTCTCGGGTGCCCCTTGGGGGTTGGCTGGCGGTGCTGGCGAATGTGGGAATCTTCTTGCCCTTGACCTCCACCTTCCTATCCTTCTGCGTAGATGCCGCCGCGGCGCGGCCACGGAGACCGCCGAGACCGCCGCTGCGGCCTCGACGGCGGCCTCGACCGTGGCTTCTGGATCCATCTCGAAGCAATGTTGGGCTGTCTCAGGGCGCCTGGGGGCCTCTTGGCGGCCTCTTGGGGGTTGGCTGGCGGTGTGGGCGTTAGTGGCGCAAACCTGCGGGCTCTTGTGGAAGCGTCGTGGGTCCTCTTGGAATTTCCCCTGCGCCGTCTTGGTTGGACCTTTCTGGGCCGTCCCGGGGCCCTCTCGGTCGGGAGCCGGAACAAAGCAAAACGCGAAACTCCGTGAAAAACCTAGTGGAAATCCATATGATGAGTTTTACCTCTGGGCCCCCTCTCGAGGTCCACTCGGAGCCTCCTCGGAAGGTCGCGGGGGCTTCTGGGGCCATGCTGAAGCACTCTGGGGCCGCTTCCGATCTGCCGGAACCCGGCAGGGTGGTCTTGGGCCAGTTTGGGGGTCGTCTTCGGCGGTCTGGGAGCCATCGGAGCCTCATGAGGCCAAGGGCGGCCATACCAACCGGTGGTAGGGATCCAGACACCTCCTGGTCGCACCGGCAGCAAATTTGACGACTTTGCCTTCGTCACTGAAGAACTTTCGAGCCACCTCCAGCCTTCCTTCGGCATTCTTTGAGCCTCTTGGACGGACGCATGCTGAAGATGCTGTCTTGGGCGTCTTTGGGAGCCATTTTGGAACCCTCTTTGGGGCTTGCGTGGTCATCGGGCCGTTCCGGGACCAGCTTGGGGGCCTTTTGGGCTGTCATCGAGCCCTCTTAAGGCCGTGCCGAGGCCGTTTTGGGCCCATCTTGTGCCGTCTTGGAGCCGTCTTGGGCGGTAGGAGGCCTGGAAGAGCGAAAACACAAGAATCCTTCGAATACTTCAAGAACGCCAATGTGCTTGGCCTCATCAAGGCCTCTTTGTGTCGCGCCAGGGGCTCTCCTGGGGTGTCCCGGGGACTTTTGAGCTGTGCTGAGGCCATCCTGAGCGTTCGTGGTAACCTTTGGGCCGTCTTCGGCTCATGTTGGTTCCTTTTAGGCGGTCTTGGGGGGATCTTGGCCTGTCTTGGAGGCCTCTTGGGCCGCCTGGAGGCCTCTCGTACGCCCCCGGGAGTGGGTATCAAGAAAAGGGGCGAGATCGTAGCGAGGTGCTGGGCCCGCGGGCGAGGATCGAGGTCTGAAGTTGTTGTCTTCGGGGGCTCTCGTCGTCGCCGCGGCTGGACACATCTCGAAGCAACGTATTTTTGTCCGAGGATGTGCAGGACGAGGGCGGGGAGGGAGATGAGGAGGCAGAAGCATCAATAGCAGTTGGGGCAGCAGCGGGGCCGCCTTGAAGCTGTTTTTTGTTCGGCGTCTCGGGGATCTCTTTGGGACGTCTTGAGCTCACACCACCGTCCGCACTTAGGACCTTTGGTGTTTGGAACTCGTTGCGTGATGAAACACAAGAGCCGGACGAACATCCATGTATGTTGCGTCTCCAGGCCTTCTCGGGCGTCCTCTTGGGGCCTTTTTGGACCACTTCACGTCCTCTCGGGTCGTCGTCGTCGTCGTCGCAGCCGCCGCCGCCGTCGTCGTCGTCGTCGCCGCCGCCGTCGTCGTCATCGTCGTCGTCGCCGCCGCCGCCGCCGCCGTCGTCGTCATCGTCGTCGTCGTTGTCGTCGTCGTCGCCGTCGCCGTCGCCGTCGTCGTCGTCGTCGTCGTCGTAATCGTCGTCGTCGTCTAGCTTCCCCCACTCTGGAGAGCCTTCTGGGGGATTTTTTGCGGGCCGCCTGGGGGGGACTGGATGTCCCTTGGGAAACTCCTTGGGCCTTGTTGGGATGGGGTGGCCTCGTCGCGGAGGCAATTTGAAGCTTCTTGGGGGCCTCTTGGGGCCAATGTTTGGTTCTCTTGGGGGGCGTCTTGGGCTCTTTCGTGGGGCTCTTGGGGCCTTCTGGGGGCCTATCGGGGTGGAAAGCTCGAACTGTCGGTTGGTTTGCCTCTCTGGGCCCCCGCTTTGGGCCGTCTTGGAGCCCTGTTGGGCGCCTCTTGAGCTGTGTTGTGGCCGACGTGGGCTGTCTTGGGGCCCTCTGGGAAACGTCTTGGGCGCCTCTCAGGCCCTTTTGGGTCGTTCGTGGGGGTTCCTTGGGCTGTCTGAAACATTCGGAATCCGACAAGGTGCGACCTGCAAACAACCTAAGAGAGCACTATCTTGAACCCCCTTAGAAACGTATTGGGTGAGCATCGTTCAACCGATCCCCATCCCCAGCGGCGTGGCCTGGGCCCCACTGGCCGATTTAGCCCCCTAGATGGGGATATAGGCCGTTCCCTTCGGGTTGCGAGGGGTGTATCCCCAACTGGGGTGGTTATTTGGTTGGGGTCTCGAGGGGGATGAGGATGGGGATGGGAGTCGGTTAAACGATGCTGACTGGGGGCGCCTCAGGCCGAGGGGAAGCCGTCTTGAGCGTCTTGGGGGCGTTGCGGGCCTCCAGGGGTGGTTCGCGGCATCCGGGAGCGTCACTGCGCCGACCTTGCAGACGTGCTGCAGCGGATTCTTGCGTGGATCTGTCAATGCAAGACCCCGAACTGGCGAGCGGAAAACGAAATACATTTCACTTGGATGCATTTCAATCTTTATTCCTGGCCCAAAAAGCCGCACGAAATTCACTTCGAAATCTGGAACAAAATTCTCCAGGACGCTCCGGGCCCGTCTCCAGGCCCATCCCAATGTTTTCCTGACGAAATCCGCTCTGCGATGCTGGCGCCATGAAGGAGCGATGGCCGCCCGGGGGCGCCTCGGCAGCCTTCTGGGACCGGCCCGGGACCCCCGGCACCCCCATGCGCAAACAACCTAAGAGAGCACCATGTTGAAGCCCTCTTGGAGCTTCTTGGGGGCGCCTCCGGCCGTGAGGAAGCCGTCTTGGGGCGTCGCTGTGGGCCTCCAGGGGTGGTTTGCACGGTTCCCCGGGGGCCGTAGGCGACCCGAGGAGGAGGAGGGGAGGAGGAGGAGGAGAGGAGGAGGAGGGAGGAGGAGGAGGAGGAGGAGGAGGAGGAGGAGAGGAGGGAGGGGGGGGGAGGAGGAGGGGGGGGGGGGAGGAGGAGGGAGGAGGAGGGAGGAGGAGGAGAGGAGAGGAGGAGGAGGAGGAGGAGGAGGAGAGGAGGAGGGAGGAGGAGGAGGAGGAGGAGGAGAAGGAGGAGGAGGAGGAGGAAGAGTAGGAGGAGGGGGGGGGGGGGAGGGGAGGAGGAGGAGGAGGGAGGAGGAGGAGGAGGAGGAGGAGGAGGAGGAGGAGGAGGGAGGAGGAGGAGGAGAGAGGAGGAGGAGGGGAGAGGAGGAGGAGGAGGAGGAGGAGGAGGAGGAGGAGGAGGACGGGTCGCCTAAGCCCTCCGGAGAAACCCTCCAGGGGTGGTTCGCGGCATCTGGGAGCGATGCTTCCGCCGCCCGGGGGCGCCTATTGGCAGCCTTTTCTGGGCCCGGCCGGGACCGTGGCACCCCCATGCATGCGCCGTCGAAGCCCGGGGTGCCCTGGGGTGCCCGGGCCTCGGGCACGGGAGTCTATGTACATATGCAAGTATGTAGATTCACGCTTATTCTTTCCATCTTTCGAACCACGATGGACTACAGACGGAGCTCTAGATCACCTCTGGTCTTTCTCTCTTCCTAAACTCCACTTCTAGATCAAACCCGAAACTCACTTCAATTCCAGGGAATCTCCGAAACAGGGCGCTGGCCCCAGAAATCCGAACACCCCTCCTCGGCCTTCGTCGCCGCGGCTGGGCGGAGGCGGAGGGCGAAAGCCCAAAACAAAACCAGCGAATCGATCATTTTCGCGAGACGTGCGCCGGCAAACAGCCGGCGTCATACATCAAAGCACGCGGTGCCTCACGCTACCGTTGAACTTCATCGTGAAGCAGATCAGCTTCATCAGCCGCTTCATCGTGTCTTGGTCGAGGGCCTTCGTGAACAGGTCCGCCCGTTTCCAGTGCCCATCGACCGTCTTCAGCACCAGCCTTTTACTCTGAATACGTTCCTGCAGCCACAGAAATCGAACATCCAAGTGTCGAACAGCTCCAAGTCCCTGTCGGCTTGCAATTCCTCTCGCGGCTGAGCTATCGCTGAAGATGTAAAACCCCATCTCGTAGTCAACCTCGACTCCAAGGTCGGCCAAGGTGGCCTGTGCTCCAAAACCGTGGCAGGCTCCACGCAGTAGTGCATAGTACTCGGCCTCACCGCTGCTCGAACTCACCGTGGATTGGACCGCGCTGCCATGTTTCAGCATATGCGTTCCCCATAGAATGGCCATTCCACTTCGGGAACGCCTCGTAATCGGATCACCCGCGTAGTCGCTGTCGCAGTAAACGCAAACCTTTCTAGGCACCCTCTACAGCAACCTTCCAGCGGGGTACTTCTTCAGGTAGCGACCGATGCGCTTCAAATCCTCCATGTGAGTCTCCTTCGGCTCCTTCATGCGTCTAGCCTGCATGCTCGCGCGGTAGCTGATGTCGGGCCGGTCCAGACTCAGGTACATGATCCGCATGGTCACGCTGCGGTAGGTCTTCGCCGTCTCGTCGTCCAGCTTCCGCGAGGTCTGGTTGCTACTCAGGATCTCCGCGACGGACCTCTTCACAGCCGGGGTAGTCACCTCCTTCGCGTTCTCCGAGCCCAGGTCCCTGATCACCTTCTTCACGCGCCGGGTGTCCGCTTCGAGGCAGGCCGGTCGCTCGAAGGGGTTCCAGATCAACACCCAGTTGAGATAGACCACGCTCTGTTCCTGCAGGGCCCTGCTGCTCATAATACCCTTAACCATAAAGTCGTAGCGGGAAAGCACGTCATCGAACCACCCCTCCTGGGACTTGCGCATAATCACACCAAAGTCGTCGCCGTGGACCTCCGCTTGTATATGGCGCTCGGCGTGGTACTGCAGCGCTGGGTTCGAGACGCCCTTCTTGAAGCCGTGCGAGCTTGTCAGGCCGATGTAGTCGTCTTGCCACAAATGACTTGCATCCACTGTGCCATGCATTGTCTTGAGTAGCCTGCCCACCATGGTTTCCGGATCGTCGTGGGTCTCCTCCTCGGGTAACTCCACATACACCTCGCGATGCACATCTCCATAGAAGTGCGCCCTCGAGATGTCGCAAAACTTATAAATGATCTCCTCTGATTCGCCGTCGTGGTAGGCGTCGTTCGCGCGGCCAACGAAGATGGCCACCATCGCCTTGAACGCTTCCAGCGGGGGCATGGCCGAGAATAGTTCAGCTTGATCCGGTCGATCTTCGGGCCTCATAGCTTTCTTAATCTCCCTCGCGACCAGCCTCGAGCGATACCGTGGTTGAGTTCGGTCGTCCTTGTTCGTGTCAATGCACTCCAGTGTCACTGCCCTCTTGCCGTTCTCGAGCATCTCGCGTCTAGGTACCTTCTTCCACACCTGCCTCCCGCGGCACCAATCCAGTTCTCCTTGCCTCGCTTCTCGCGCGCCCTCGAAATCCAAAACCTCGCCCGTGAGATCGTCGATGAAGTAGTCGTCCTGGTACTCAGCGAACACCTCAGTATCTTCTTCATGTGGGTGTGCTCCTCCGCAGAGAGCTGCAATTAGGTAAAGCCCTTCACGTCGTCGAAGTTCCTCTCGTAGGCCTTTGAGAATAGCTGCCACCAAGCTCGGAGGGCATCGTTGTGCATGTTTGGCGCGTCCGTCAACCAAATGAACATGGCGAGCGAGTTCTCCGTTCGGACCCCTGGGGCACCGGCAGTAGCCCTTGAGGATCTCGGCGAGCAGCTCGCTGTTAGTGAGCCACCCGGTCTCCTTCCGAACGAAGCCCAACTTTCCGTTGGAGTCGATCGCCTGCATGTGCCAGCGGCACATAGGTCCATGGACTGAGAATACGCCTGCCAACTGCATGACCTCCTGAACGCTTGGGCGGTGCCTGCTGCTCGCTGACCAAGGTGCTTCGTGAAGAAATAGCCCCCCTGCCTTGTAGCGCTCCTTGCAGATCTCCATGCTGAAGTTGAGGTGCGTCTCGCCTTCCAGGATCTCCGCCTACGCGATCTTCGGGTCTCGCTTGGAGTCCGAGAGCGTGCGCAAGTTGCTGAGTGGCGTGCAAGGGGGGCTGGTGATCGTCAGCAGCAGGTCTTCGTCCTTCAGCTGCTTCTTGCACTCCTTTCGTTGCTCGGGCAATCGCAGATCCCAACCAGCGTCGATGTCCACTGCCAGGCCGTGCGCGAGACCATACCTGAACGTCATCTCTGCAAACCTTCTCGGCGAAAAAACCTCCGCAGTGTCCACTGTGCACATCTCGGTAAGAAGTGACGCGATCTCCTCTGCCTGCTCTGAGTCGTTCACGTTGGCGTTCGTCCGCATCTCGAACATCACCAGATCGTAGATCATGACAAACGTGCGGCCTTTGCCGTAGCCGTTGATCCGCCCCAGGAAGTCGGCGTCCATCGATCCATCTGGAGCCCGGCACGGTCGAAGCCGATGCCAATGCTGAACTTGATGGCGCTGCCTGGGGCATCGCTGTGTCAACCAGGTCCTCCACGTTCATCTGCGCCTCGTCCTGGGGCGCCGCTCGCTTGAGCGCGAGCCGGGCTTCAGCACTTGCAGGTGCTGAGTTTCCTCTCGCATCGCCTCGTGCCCGGGTAGCTCGTCCAGGGTCGGGTGCGTCTCCTCGGCGCTTCCTGGCAGCGCTCGGTTCGCTTCCACTGCCTCCGGCCGGCGCCGCCGCCATCTCGGTGCCCCTCGGCTCCGGGGCAGGAGCTCGATCGCCGTCTCCAGCGGGCGGCGGTAGAGCAGCTTGGTCTCCTCCAGCTGCTCCCTGATCTCGAACACCTCGACCGCGCGCTGCTTGATCTCCGGCTCGGAAGTGGTGTTTGGTAACTCGTGCTCGATCTTCGTCGTTACCCATCATCAACTCTGCGATCCTGTCGCGGCACTCGTCGCTGTGGGATTTCGTGATCTTGCCCTTCTGCGTCAGCTCCTGGCATCCTGGGCAGCCCGCAGTGGCACCGTACTTCTCGATGTCGCGGAGCAGGACGTACCTCGCTCGCGGGGCTCGTGGCTCCATCCGAACGGTAGCCACCGCCGGCGCTCTCGCCAGAGCGGGCGCCTCTTCCTCCGGGCAGGTCGCCCAGGGAACTCCTCGAAGAGCTGCCCAGTCATTGCCGTCTTAGGCCTGCTCCCCCGGCAGTGTCTTGAAACCTTGGGCCTTCTCCACACCGTCAACCGTCATGACGAGCAGGGCCCCCGCCCGCACGTGGTAGCCCAGGAAGTTCCCGGACTTCGCGCGCTCCTCCACGGTGCATCACCCGCTCGCCGAACTCTGCCCCCAACTTCTTCCAGTCGCGGCCTGAGCGCCGCTGTTCTCCAGTGAGGCCGTCGGTTCCGCGTCGGTACCGGCCAATGCAGGCCGCGGCGTACTGGGGCAGCCACTTCAAGATCGGGTGGTCACCATCCACCTTCCTGCCGAGCTTGGCCTCCAGCGCGACCCTGTTCGCCCTGACCTGCCTCTTGACCTCTCGTACGGTAACCTCGATGCCTCCGTTGCTCTGGCGCTCCCCTGCTGGCGATTCTCAAGGCAGGAACTCCACCGTCGGCGTCGCCACCGCGACCGCCGTCTTGAGCGCCACGATCGCGGGCTCCCCGTCGATCTGGAAGGTCAGCCTGCGGTAGCCGAGGTGCAGGATGAAGCTCGTCAGAATCTTGATCATGAAGATGGTGACATTCTTGCCCGGGATCGCTGTCGAGTAGGGCAGCTGCATCTTATTTGAGGGAGTTTCTGTGGAACTCACGTCATCCTCACCCCCGGCGCGAAGAGCACGAGCCCAGAGCGGCCTCCAGCACCGTTTCCGGACGGATCCGCTGGATCCGCTGGATCCGCTGGATCCGGTGACGAATCCCAAACCGGCGCCCTCGCCTGAGACATCCTCACAAAACGGGCCCCGGGGGGGATGCCCAGAGGAGCCCAGAGCGGCCTCCGGCACCGTTTCCGGACGGATCCGCTGGATCCGCTGGATCCGGTGACGAATCCCAAACCGGCGCCCTCGCCTGAGACATCCTCACAAAACGGGCCCCGGGGGGGATGCCCAGAGGAGCCCAGAGCGGCCTCCGGCACCGTTTCCGGACGGATCCGCTGGATCCGCTGGATCCGCTGGATCCGGTGACGAATCCCAAACCGGCGCCCTCGCCTGAGACATCCTCACAAAACGGGCCCCGGGGGGGATGCCCAGAGGAGCCCAGAGCGGCCTCCGGCACCGTTTCCGGACGGATCCGCTGGATCCGCTGGATCCGCTGGATCCGGTGACGAATCCCAAACCGGCGCCCTCGCCTGAGACATCCTCACAAAACGGGCCCCGGGGGGGATGCCCAGAGGAGCCCAGAGCGGCCTCCGGCACCGTTTCCCGGACGGATCCGCTGGATCCGCTGGATCCGCTGGATCCGGTGACGAATCCCAAACCGGCGCCCTCGCCTGAGACATCCTCACAAAACGGGCCCCGGGGGGGATGCCCAGAGGAGCCCAGAGCGGCCTCCGGCACCGTTTCCGGACGGATCCGCTGGATCCGCTGGATCCGCTGGATCCGGTGACGAATCCCAAACCGGCGCCCTCGCCTGAGACATCCTCACAAAACGGGCCCCGGGGGGGATGCCCAGAGGAGCCCAGAGCGGCCTCCGGCACCGTTTCCGGACGGATCCGCTGGATCCGCTGGATCCGGTGACGAATCCCAAACCGGCGCCCTCGCCTGAGACATCCTCACAAAACGGGCCCCGGGGGGGATGCCCAGAGGAGCCCAGAGCGGCCTCCGGCACCGTTTCCGGACGGACGGATCCGCTGGATCCGCTGGATCCGGTGACGAATCCCAAACCGGCGCCCTCGCCTGAGACATCCTCACAAAACGGGCCCCGGGGGGGATGCCCAGAGGAGCCCAGAGCGGCCTCCGGCACCGTTTCCGGACGGATCCGCTGGATCCGCTGGATCCGGTGACGAATCCCAAACCGGCGCCCTCGCCTGAGACATCCTCACAAAACGGGCCCCGGGGGGGATGCCCAGAGGAGCCCAGAGCGGCCTCCGGCACCGTTTCCCGGACGGATCCGCTGGATCCGCTGGATCCGGTGACGAATCCCAAACCGGCGCCCTCGCCTGAGACATCCTCACAAAACGGGCCCCGGGGGGGATGCCCAGAGGAGCCCAGAGCGGCCTCCGGCACCGTTTCCGGACGGATCCGCTGGATCCGCTGGATCCGCTGGATCCGGTGACGAATCCCAAACCGGCGCCCTCGCCTGAGACATCCTCACAAAACGGGCCCCGGGGGGGATGCCCAGAGGAGCCCAGAGCGGCCTCCGGCACCGTTTCCGGACTGGATCCGCTGGATCCGCTGGATCCGGTGACGAATCCCAAACCGGCGCCCTCGCCTGAGACATCCTCACAAAACGGGCCCCGGGGGGGATGCCCAGAGGAGCCCAGAGCGGCCTCCGGCACCGTTTCCGGACGGATCCGCTGGATCCGCTGGATCCGGTGACGAATCCCAAACCGGCGCCCTCGCCTGAGACATCCTCACAAAACGGGCCCCGGGGGGGATGCCCAGAGGAGCCCAGAGCGGCCTCCGGCACCGTTTCCGGACGGACGACCTGACTGCATAACACGCCTGGATATGCCGACGGGGGCGAAGGAGGAGGAGGAGGAGGAGGAGGAGGAGGAGGAGGAGGAGGAGGAGGAGGAGGAGGAGGAGGAGGAGGAGGAGGAGGAGGAGGAGGAGGAGGGGGAGGGGGCAGGCGAGGGAGCCCCGGCCCTGGGGGAGGGGCCCTGAGGGAGCCCTGATGGGCTTCCGGCACAATGGAGAGGTCCTGTGGGGCGGCCGCCCCTTCTTCTCTCGGTCGTTTCCCTCTCGCCCAGAAGCGCGCGCCCCTTCTTCTATATATACAGAAACTCCCGATCAACCGCAGAGCGGCGGATGTTAATCTCTGGCCACTAGCATCGGGAAGTTGTCCTCCCGGCCCTCGTCCCCCCCGCTGGTCTTCTCGCCCATGAACGCGAAGTCGATGGCCACAACCGGGCCTGCACCTTCACGAGCTTCAGCTTGTAGTTCACGAGGTTGGCCCAGCCCTCGAGCTGCGCAACAAACTTCAAGCCAATCTCGAAATGCGGCGTGACCTGTAGCCTCGTGTTGATCAGCTTCAGCTCGGGTAGGTGGTCGCTTTCGCCCCTGCACTTTCGCTGGCGCAACCTCCAGAGGATTGCCGCCGTAGTCTTCGCCGTCTCCGATCCCTTCTCGTACTTCAGCAGGCTGGGGAGCGGGATCTCTACTCTCTTGCGCTGCCGCTGGTGGACTTACGGGCGGCCCCGCTGCCGGCGACTCCGGCTGCTCCGAGGCGCTCGCGCCCCCCACGGGGCCGCTGCCTGCCGCTGAGGGTCCGCGCTCGCCGGCGCCCGCGGACAGAGATCGGCAACGGCGGCCGACCCCGACGGAGTGGCACCGGCAGGTTGGCCCATCAGCACGTCCATCTTGTAGACTCCGTTCTGCAAGTACAGCGGCGCGATGCCCTCGTTGCCCTCAGCCACGTATACTGGTCGATCATCTGGTGGATCTTCTGCGCGAACTCACTCTCCTTCAGGACGCGGCCGCCGAAGGCGCCGACCCGCGCGAAGTGGCCCTTGGCGGCAGTGGCCGAGGCGGACAGGAGCGGCTTGCCGATGTTCACGCGCCTGCCCTTCAGGAACATGCTCTCGCCGTGCTCCGACACTCCTTTGATGCCGACGCCGCCCTCGTCCTCTACGATCTCGCCGGTGGCTGCGCGGCATGAGCTGCCGTCGGCCTCGGTGCACTCGCCCTCCTGATCGAGCGGGAAGGCCGCGGCGGCGGCGCCGGTGTCGCACGTCATCGCGATGCACTTCCTGCACTGCTTCTCGCCCTTCGCCTCCGCGCTATTCAGCTCCAGCGCGCGCTCGAAGGTGTCGAGGCTGAGCGCGGCGGGTGACTGGTTGAATGCGCCGGCCTGTGTGTCCGATGCCGGTAGCTGCGTGCTGGTCGTGCTCTGCGTGTCGCCCATTGCCGCATCCTTTGCCCTCGCCTTTGTCAACCTTACCTCCTTTCTCGGTGGGCCTCCAGCAGTCCTGTGCACGATGGCCCTTCCTTCGGCAGTTCCAGCAGATCGCGTTCGCGTTGGCCGTCTTCCCTTTTCCGATGCCGGTCTTGCCCCTGTCATCTTTGCCCTTGCCCTTGCCGTGCTTGCCCTTGCCGCCGCCTCTCCGGATGAACCCGTCGATCTCCGTCGGGTCGCCTCTCGACCGGCCAAGGGCTCTTTGAGTCTGTCTGGTTTCCAGGAAGCTCCTGACCTCCTCGCGCATCGCGGCGTAGTCCTGGAGCCTGGTGCGGTTTTGGGCAAGGTGCATCTCGACGTCCTGCGGCGCGAGGCCCTCGAGCGCACTCATCTTGATCTCGTCGTCTAGGCGTGCGTCTCGACCGTCAGCTCGGCGCCTCTCGTAGCGCCTGACCAACTCTTTCAATTTCACAACCTCTGCGGCCAAGTTCTCGAGCTTCGCGACCCTGGTCGGCGCCGTGATCTTCCTGAGCAGCACGCGGCGGCGACCGCCGCTGGTAGGGCCCCAACGTCGCACCGGCAATCGTAGGGCTTCAGCCCCATTGCCTTGGCTTGCGCTGACCACCAGATCGAAGGACTCGCCCTCCGTGAGCGAGCCGAACACCGCGTAGAGCTGCGAGAGCTTCTCGCCCACCCTGTCGACTGCCTCGCCGTCCGGGGCCTCATTCACAAACTGTTCCTCCGCAGCGGCCGTGGTGGGCGTGACCGCGTCGTTCGCCTGGTCGACCGCCCGCTCGATCGCCGGCCGGAAGTTCACGCCGATTACGCTGAGCACGTAGCTGTTGAGCTTCTGATCCCACTCGCTGAACTTCGCCTCTTCATTCTTGAAGGCCTGTGGCTTTCCAGTATCTTTCGCTTGGATCAGCTGGGCCGGCGGCGGCGGCGGCGGCGCTGCAACTCGCTCGAGCACCTCGCCGAGCCGCCTAATGATCTGAGGCTCTCTGGCCTGGTCTGCTTGTCGCTGGAGCGCGGCGTTCTGTTGCCGTAGATCTTGCATGTCCTGTCGAGCTTGCTGCACTGCGTCGCGCATCTCGTTGAACGTTTCCTGGCTGAGCGCCATGTTGGAGACCGAACCGCTCTGCTCTCCTGTGATTCTTCACGTAGTACAAGTATTGATCGAACTCGTGCCAGTAACCCTTCAGACGTCTAAACCAAATGAGCTTCAATACGGTCCGTTGCCAGTCACCTTCGACGCCCACTTGAATCCAGCGAACGTGGGTCTGTCGTGGAGCTCGTCGTGCCGAACTCCGCCGTCTCGTAACCGCCGGGCCGCCGGTGGCGGATCTCGCGCGCGCTGGCGCGCGGGTATAAAGAGTGGCGGGGCTGGGAGCTGGAGCTAGTCCAGCTCCGCTACCATCTTTCCATCTTTTGAACCACGATGGACTACAGACGGAGCTCTAGATCACCTCTGGTCTTTCTCTCGTCCTAAACTCCACTTCTAAATCAAACCCGAAACTCACTGAAGTTCCAGGGGATCTCCAAAACACGGCGCTGGCCCTAGAAATCCGAACACTAATATATATATATATATATATACACATATATATAAATATATGTTTATGTGCATGTAATTATATATATATATATATATATATATATATATATAATATATTATATAGGCGTGTACATGTATATGCATGTTTTTTATGTATGTATGTGTTTGTTCATGTATTGTTTCATTCCCTACCTAGGCTCTGCCTAGAAATGTTCTTACTCTCTTTCTTAAAGGGGCCACGCAATGGAAAGCGCCCCGGGCGGTTCCCCCAATATCCGCCGCGCGGTTCCCCCAGCTACGTCCCCTTAGATTAGCGCCGTCTATCTCATCTTAGCTTAGCTTATTTCATCTTAGCTTAGCTTAGCTTCATCTCAGCTCGGGCCTATCTTAGTTTAGCTTACCTTCGTGTTAGCTTCGCTGAGCTTTAACATCGCATATCATGGCGCAGCACAGCATATCATAGCATAGCATAGCGCAGCACAGCATAGTATAGCATAGCACAGCATAGCACAGCGCATCATAGCATAGCATAGAATAGCAGAGCATAGCAGCAAAGGAAAGGCAAATCGACAGCAGCGACAGCAAAGCAAAGCACAAGCAACTCAAAGCAAAGCAAAGCAAAAGCAAAAGCAAAGGAAAGGCAAAGCAAAAACAATGTGCCACAGATGCCGAGCTAGCCTCGATGGCCGGACCGGAGCCCCCGCAAGCAGTGCCTTCCGTAACCTTTTCGGCTCAAGTCTGGACGGAGGCCCTGCCACACAGCCGTCGTCGTCGTCGTCGTCGTCGTCGTCGTCGTCGTCGTCAGTCGTCGTCGTGGTTCGTCGGTCGTCGTCGTCGTCGTCGTCCCCCCCGCCTAGAGCAAATAAAAAAAACGGATCCGTGGGCGACGCCGCCGCTGCCGCCACTGCCGCCGCTGCCACCGGCTCCTCCTCGTCATCCTCACCGTCATCCAGCACTTGGTCTTCCTGCCCGGATCTGTGGGTGTATGTTGTGGCGCTCGTGTGTGCCAGCCGCGTTGCCAGTTTAGTTTTCTGTTCGGGTGATTAGCATGGGTGCAATTCCCTCCCTAGGCTCTGCCTAGAGGGTTAGCTTAGCATAGCTTAGCTTAGACTAGTATAGCGCAACGCTGCATTAGCATGGCATAGCATAACGTAGCCAAGCATAGCATAGCATAGCGCAGCATAGCGCAGCATAGCATAGGATAGCATCGCATATCATAGCATAGCATGGCATAGCGCACCTTAGCATAGCATAGCATATCATAGCATAGCGCAGCATAGCACAGCGCAGCATGACATATCATAGCTTAGCATGGCATATCATAGCATAGCGCAGCATGGCACATCATAGCATAGCATAGCATAGCGCAGCATCGCATGGCACAGCATATCATAGCATAGCAACCAATGCTGCTTTCCTAGGGGCTCCAACTTCTAGGTAGGGTCGCACTGGGGTAATTTATTCTGTGTCTAGATACACCTACATGTGAATACATATGTACACATTGAAACACTGAAATCGTTACCATGTGCGTTTCCCATCCGAACGTCCTCGGTCATTCTAGAATGGTGCTCCCGCTGCAGCGCTTGGCGTCATTTCAGGATCGGCGCTTTGCTCCCGTCGCTCAGACTGGCGCTCTCGCCTCAGCGCGGCCCACATCTCTTGGTCCGAGTGCTTCCTCGTCGTTGTCGCCTTCCTTTCCCCTCCCTCGCCGTCCCCTGGTCCTCCTGTTCCTCCCGCTCCTCCCGCCCCTACTGCTGCAGTTCCTCCTCGTTCTTCTTCTTCCTCATCCTTCTCCTCTAACTCCTGCTTATCCACCACCTCATCCTCATGAGCGCAGCTCCTCATTTCCAGATTGCGCGAAATACGATGGGGTCCTTTTGGGTGTTCCAGGTCCGCTTCGACACCCGTTGGCGGATAGAGAAACAAAACAGCGTAATGGGAAAGGACGGCATAGGAGGGAGGGGTAGGTTGTCAGACATGGCTCGACCGCACCTAGCCTGTCCTCCCTCCGCTGCCCTCCTTCTGCTCCTCTCTGAAGGGAGAACGTTAGATGAGGACCGGCTCAAGGGGGAAACATCAGGCTGGAATCGGCGATACGACGCCGATATATCGGCGATGCGCCCACGATAGCGAAACCACACGCTTATGGGCGGGGTGGGCTATCGGGCCCCTGCTCCAAACCCCTTATTAATAGTCTCCTGGGTCCAGCTTTTCAAGGCACCTTTTTTGTAACGGGGGGGGTCCGGTTTATTAAGGCGCTTTCTTTGGATTGGAGCTTAGGGGGTCCAGTTTATTCAGGCGTCCCATCGAAAAGGGGGTTCCAAAGTATTAGGTCGCACTTGGAGGGGGGCCCGGTTCTTTTTGCGGGGGGGTCGATGAATACGGGATTTCGATGAAAGCCAGGGTGAAAAGCCGTTGAGCTGGATTAGCCCGGATCTAGCCCAAGATTGAGCCCCATCAGGCCGCAACAAGCGGAATGAAATGGGATTGTGCTCGTTGATGCCCGTTTCCGACGCCGGATCTGCCGAGTCTGTGCTCCACGGGCGGGCGCGCGCGCCGCTGCCATCTCGGGAAAACACAGCAGGAAGCAACTACTGGAAGGCCATCGACAGCACCTCTGAAGATCAATCGAACAATACGAATAGTTTCGCGGACCTAGCTCGACTATCAGACCAAGTTCAGACCTCTGCATGCGACAGGTGGACGCGTCTGATGTCTCTGAATCGATTCCTGTGATTACCAGCCCTGCAGCCCCCCCCCTACTAAGATCGACTCAAAGTCAGAAATCACAGCTTGATCGTGCTGGGCTTCATCTGGCTTCCTTGCCCTTGACTCCGTCATTGTTGAAGCCAGGGTGCAGGGCATGGACCTGGCTTCGCCCAGCTGCAGCCCGGGATTGAGCAGCCCAGTGGACGCGGGATGACACAGGATCATGCTGGACTAGGCTAGGGTCCTCGACCAAGGAAATACCAGCGCCGATGCTGCACTTCACCTCCCTCGATGAGCCAGGGATCTGGAGCATCGGGACTGAATGGGTGAGTGGGGGTCGAGGCGCCCCGCCCCCTGTGCCGCTCCCCCGCCCCCTGACACTGCCCCCCGGTCTTCGGGCCACAACTTTCGGTCGGGCATCCGGCGGATTTTTTGGACGACAAAGTCAACAGATTCAAAACAATACCCCAAACTTGCCAACCGATCGTCGAAACATCGCCCCGAGAATGTTTTTGGAGTATCTTTGTATATTCCTCCTGTAGAGGGACATGCCCGACTTTATCATAACTTGGCTCTCCAGCGGGCGTTCGGGGCGATCCGGGCACCCCACGGAGCACCCTCGGTGAGGCGCAGCCGCTGGAAGGCGCCCCGAGGCAGGCAGACCGCCGTGGGCTGACGAAAACACCCGGGAGACCTCGAACGTTGCCCCAACGCTGCCCCTGACGTCCTAACGCTCGAGTGAGAGATCGCCTGCAGAATTGATTTACCCCCAAACTGGACTTCGCTGGGTCTACTGCCATATCTGTAGGATGTTGGTCGCAGATCTGCGAACACTCTACGTCTGTGTTCTGTGGACTCGACAAACAAACCAAGCCTGGGGTAAACCCATTGTGTAAACGATCACCTACTCGAAGCGTTGCACCTGATCTCCCGGGCGCCGCGCAAGGCTGGGCTGAGGCCGGGGCCGCGGAGAGCGGGGCTCGCTCCTTCTCCGTGCCGGGCGCCGTCCCGCGCCGCCGCGGCGGCAGCCGCGCGGGGGCGAGCCCGCCTTGTCGCTCCTCTGCCGGGTGTGTGTGTGTGTGTGTGTGTGTGTGTGTGCTAGAGGTGCCCCTGGTCCAAGGTGCCCCCTGCTTTTCGCCCCATGCTGGAGCTCCTGGGGCCCTCTGGGCCTTGTGAGGGGTGCTCCGTGCTGCACGCAGTGCGCCAGGGTCTGAGCAGCATCGGTGTGACGTGCGCGACGCGCCGAAGAGTGGGGGGCGTTCGGCGGGACCCGCTGGAGTCTCTTGGGTACCAAAACAAAAGCCGTGGGGGGCTCCTTGGAGATCCTGGGGTTAGTCGGGCGTGTCCTCCTACAGGCGGATTTTGGACGAAAAATGGAAAATACCCCCTGAAAGCTCAAACATAATCAAAAAACAATGAAAAAATCGTTCCCCGAGTATTTTTTGTCTATTTTTGAATATTCCTCCTGTACAGGGACATGCCCGACTTAATCCTGGGGGCACCTTGCAAGGGACGGCCCGCGCCGAGGCTTGCTCAGAAGAGTGACTGCGCGACTGCGACCTGCGAGAGTGCCGCAGGAAGGGGCTGAAGCGCTCAGATAGGGGTGAAACGCGCAAGCAATGCGCGGCAGCAAGATTACAAGGAAACCTCTGCAAATTCTTTCCCGAGGCTCCTCAGGGCGAATCCTTCCGCAAGGCTGCTGGCTCAGAGGAGCAAATCGGGAAGCAAATCCTGGGAGGCCTTCGTGAGAGCGACGGACGGTTGCACGTACTCCAAATCCCATATTAATCGTCTCCTGGGTCCGGTTTTTTAAGGCGCCTTTTTGGGGTCCGGTTTATTAGGGCGCTTTCTTTGGATTGGAGCTTAGGGGGTCCAATTCATTCAGGCGCCCCGTCGAAGAGGGGGGGGGTCCGGAGAGGGATCGTGCTGGGCTTCATCGTGCTTCATTGCGCTTGACTCAGTCATTGTTGAAGCCAGGGTGCAGGGCATAGACCTGGATTTGCCCAACTGTAGCCCAGGATTGAGTAGCCCAATGGAATCGGGATGACATAGGATCATGCTGGATTAGGCTAGGGTTCTCGACCAAGGAAATACCAGCGCCAATGCTGCATTTAACCTCCCAGGAATTGCATCCTAAAGCGAACACCAGCGCACACTTTTCTGACCGCGGTGACTTAGGGCCAGAAGTGGGCAACTTGACTCAGCGAGAATTGGCACCTGAAGGGCGGTTGGCGGAGAAAAGATGAGCAAATGGTGAGGGAGGCAATGGGGTCCGAGCCGATGGGGTCGGACGATCGCGCCGCATCGCCGATGCATCGGCGATGCATCGCCGATGCATTGGCCATGCACTGGCGACGTCTGCGATGCGTTGGCGCCGCTGGTGGAGGAACTCCGGCTCCACATCGAGCCGCATCGCCGAAGTATCGGCGATGCGGCGTGATCCTCCGACCCCATCGGCTCCGACCCCATCTGGGAGGCCCAGAGCAGAGACGGGAACGCCTTTGAGTCGTCTTCCTGGGTGGTGCGGCCGGCTTCGGGCTCTCGCATCGGCACAGAAGCAAGCCAACATCCTAGGATCGACGCAGGAGGAGGAGGAGGAGGAGGAGGAGGAGGAGGAGGAGGAGGAGGGAGGTGGGTCCCCCTCGCTGGCGCGTGGAGAGCGCGCCAGGCTCGGCGCCCGAGGGGACCGCCCGGGGGCGTCCGGCGCCGATTGCAAGAGGTCCGCGAGGACACTGCCGCCGCCGCGGCCGTGCTGCGTCGAGGGGCGCAGCGTGTGTTCCGCAGCTCCGCCTTCCCCCGTCCTCCTCCCTCCTCCCCCTCCTCCTCCCCCTCCTCCTCCTCCTCCCCCTCCTCCTCCTCCTCCTCCTCCTCCTCCTCCTCCCTCCTCCTCCTCCTCCTCCCTCCTCCTCCTCCTCCCCCTCCCCCTCCCCCTCCCTTCCCTCCCACCTCTCCCTCGCCCACACTTCCCCCCTTCTTCCTTCTTCCCCCTTCCCCCCTAATCTTCGTCCCTTCCCGTTGTCTCCCGCCCCCTCCACCCTGTCGCCATCGTCACCGCCATCGTCGCCGCCGTCGTCGCTGCCGTCGTTGTGCTGTCCGCAATCGTCGTCGTCGTCGCGGCCCGGGATGCCGTCGCCACCGCCGCCGTGGCCGCCGTCGCCGGCGTCGGCGTCGGCGTCGGCGTCGGCGTCGGCGTCGGCGTCGGCGTCGGCGTCGGCGTCGGCGTCGTCAACAACGACGAAGCCGAGGCCAGGGCGCGGCGTTCCTCCCCACGTTCCCGCGGCTCCCCGGCGCGCCCGCTCTCGCCGCGCAGGGGCGGCGGCGGCGGCGGCCCGCCGCCGTCGGCAGCGCCCGCCGCCGGCGAGCCCGCCTCCACGAAGCGCAGCTCCGGGGACTCCGAGGCGGCGGAGCCCGCCCGGCCGGCAGCGCCACCCGCCCGCGGCGTGCGGCCTCGCCGCGCGCGGTGCTCTCGGGCGCGCGCACTGCGCCAGCGCGCGGAAGGCCCTTCGGTCGGAGGCCCCTCGGGCCGCCGCTTTGGGCCGGCCTCGCCGAATGCCCCCTATGCGGGTGCCTCCAGGGTTGTTAGGTCGGGCGTGTCCTCCTACAGGCGGATTTGGGACGAAAAATTTAGAACAGTCAAAAACTGGGCCAATTTTGGATACAAATAATAGAAGAATCGTCCCCTGACTATTTTTTGGAAACTATTTTTGAATTTTCCTCCTGTAGAGGGACGTGCCCGACTGAATTCCAGGGGTCTCTCGCGAGGGGGCCTTCGCGGGTGCCTCCAGAGGCCCCCTCGCGAGGGGCCCCTGGAGGGTGCGCGCGCGCTCGGGCGCCCACCCGCGGGAAAGAATGAGCCCCCCGCTCCTACGGATGCAGAACCCCCCCCCCCCCTCCTCCTCCTCCTCCTCCTCCTCCTCCTCCTCCTCCTCCTCCTCCTCCTCCTCCTCCTCCTCCTCCTCCTCCTCCTCCTCCTCCTCCTCCTCTCCAGGAGCCGAAGAAGACGTCCGAAAGCTCGCCCAAAGGGCGGCCGCCTCGGTCGCGAGCTGCCGAGGCTGCCGCGGCCGCCGGGCCCCCGCCGAGCCCAAGGCTGCCCCGCAGGTGGCCGAGCTCCTGCTCCACCCAGCGCCGCGCCCGGTCCTCTGGCGGGGCGCCCGGCGGGTCTCAGGTACCCAGGCCTCCCAGAAAGGGGTACGAGCAGATGGGGTGGAGGGATCGCTCCCCATCGCCGACGCATCGGCGATGCGGCTCGATGTGGAGCCCGATGTCCTCCACGCCGATGCATCGCCAATGCATCGGCGATGCGGCGCGATCCTCCGCGCCCGCTGCTGCCCGCGCTGCCTGCCCTCCGACGCCCTTCCCCTCGGCCCGCCAAGCAACTTGCCCCGCCCATGGGATGCCCTGAGCAGCCGGGTGCTGCCCGAAGCGTGTTTTGATTGCTGTTGTTCTTTTACACGTTTTCTTGTTAAACCATCACGTGCTGATTTGTCATTCAAAACCGAACTCCCACCACGGGAGGGTTTTTCCGTTTCTCACCCTCTGGGAGCCCTCGCTGAGCCCTGGGGCCGTCAACCACACGACTCACGAGCTGGAAAGACTGCCCGGTAGGTGGCCGAGCTCCTGCTCCACCCACCGCCGCGCCCAGGCCTCTCGGGGGGCGCCCGGCGAGCGGATTGAAAGCAACGCTTTTGGCCGTGGCGATGGCGAGCGCTCCGCGTCCGCAGCCCGAGCGGGGGAGCCTTGCCGGGCGAAGTGTGCACGGGCAGGCGGGAGACGGGGGAGGGCGGCCCGAGTGGCTGGGATGGCCCCAGACATCGGACGACATGTTTTTTTGGCTCCACCGAAGGCCCCAGTGGCAAAATTCGCATGCGCCTCCCCCGCCCAGTACGGCGTTTCGTGGCCCACATGGGAGCTCCACTGAAGACGATACCCACAGCTGCGGCACTCACAGCTGCACATGGTTGGGCGCTCTCCGCCAGGCCAACTTTTCCATCCCTGCGCCTTTCTTTTGGAGGCCTGGAAATGGGCGCCAACACCAACACAGGGGGGTGCCTCCACAGGGGGAAGACGGTCCTAAATTTCGGCGCTGGTGGTAATCTCTCGGTCACCTTAAAGCCAACATATTACCACCATCACCGAGATCGGGATCTTCTTCCCTCGGTGCAGACACACTGCCTATATTGGTGTTGGTGTCAACCTCTAGGTCTGCGACCTCCTTCTCTTAGGCTGGGCGTGTCCCCCTACGGGCGGAGTTTGGACGAGAGATTCGATGATTTTTTGACTACTTTTGAATATTCCTCCTGTAGAGGGACAAGCCCGACTTAATCCTTCTTCTCGACCTCCACCTTCCGCACCTGCTGGACGGGAGATGCCGCGCAGCGGCGGCCGCCAGAGCGGCCACGGTCGAAGTCGGCGTCGAGGCCGCAGCGGCGGTCTCGGCGGACTCCGCGGCCGCGCCGCGGCGGCAACTGCCGCGCGGGAAGGTTCGGAAGGTGGAGGCCAAGGGGAGACCTTCAGAGGTCTCCCCCTCCTTCTCCTCGAAGGGGGAACGCTTGTGCTGCGCGGGAAGGTTCGGAAGGTGGAGGCCAAGGGGAGACCTTCAGAGGTCTCCCCGTCCTTCTCCTGGAAGGGGGAACGCTTGTGCTGCGCGGGAAGGTTCGGAAGGTGGAGGCCAAGGGGAGACCTTCAGAGGTCTCCCCGTCCTTCTCCTGGAAGGGGGAACGTTTGGGGGGCACCCTGTTGAGAGGGGTGAGAGCGTCGATGCGGAATCGGCGATACATACGGATCGGCAATGGCGAGTCCGAACGTTCCCGGGCGGGGTGGGCTGTCGGGCCCCCGGCGATCAGTGGCCGATGCGCCTCCCCGAGGACACGTCCCTCCCCTGCCCCTGATCTGCGGGGTGCCCGACGGGTGGATGAGGCCAGCAACAAGCACCCTTGCGATCGCTCGGACGCCCCTTCCCCTCGCGTTCCGAGGGTTCGTGCGTTTTTTTTGGTGTGTCAGATGACCCAAACCCTCGACGGCATATGATTTTTTCCCGACGCGACCCCCAGAGGTCCGGACCCACTCCCTGGGGCCGGTTTCTCATCCCGAGTCGCTTTTTGACGGCCCCGAGGCCCTGCAAGGGCCCCCGGAGGCCGAAAATAGCGACAAACCTCCCGGTGTGTCTTTTCCACAACGCGAGGGGGTCTGGGTTATAAGCTAGGTTACGCCAGGTGTAACCCATTTTTGCTGCAGACACTTATCACCTCACTGTCCCCTGTGGCATCCCTGGCGGGGATCGAAGCACTCCTCAGGATCTCTCTCTATCTCCGTCGTCCCCGTCGTTTTTTTTTTTTTTTTTTTTTTTTTTTTTTTTTTTTTTTTTTTTTATAAATTATTTTAAACAAAAAAAAACAGCGCGAGGGGGTCTGGGTTCCTCGATGGCCCGCGCAAAAGAAAACATGCGCACGCCCGAGCGATGCGCATCGAAGGCACCTCGCCGGATGTCATGGGACCCTTTTGTGCTCCGTGGCTTCTGCCTATCGCTGCGCGCGGTGCGGCCAGCGTTAGGTCGGGCACGTCCCCCTACAGGCCGATTCTGGAAGAGAAATCAAGAACAGTTTTTAAAAACGTACCCCAAAACAGTCACACATGGTAAAGCAAGATCGTCCCCGAACTATGTTTTGACCATTTCTGAATACTCCTCCTCTGGAGGGGACAGGCCCGACTTACGCCTATCGCTGCGCGCGGTGCGGCCAGTGACGGGCTGCCCTGGCTCGGGCTCTCTCGGCCCCTGCCCCCGCGCCCCCCCCTGGAAGCCGCGCACCGGAGGTCGCTCCGGCGAGGAGCCACTGCCACGCGCAGCACAGTCAACCCGCACGATGATCGGGTCGGGCGAAAGGGGGGGATAGCAAAGGGGGGGTTTGAGAATCAGCTCGCGTAGCTGATTTTCCCGGCGCCTCCCGGCGCTGGAAGCAGCCATGTGTCGAGGAATGGGCCCCTCGGTGAGGCCGAAACCAGCTGCATGCAGCAAATTTCGTAACCCCCCCTTTCCCAATCCCCCCCTTTCGCCCGGCCCGAGATGAGGACGCACGATGCGGATGCAAGGGCCTCGGAAGCCCACATCGGCACTTTTTTCGTTTTTTGTTTTGTTTGTTCTCTTTTTTTCCCACCGCAGATACCTCCAGAGGGCCTCAAGAGTCTCGAGGCCCCCGACCGACGACGGAGCCGCTAATTACCCCTGCGGCACCGAAGAACTCCACTGGCACAGCATACACACATGGCGCAGGCACGCGAAGGCGGCGCAGGCCACGTCGACACCTGCGTGCGGGGCGCGGCCAACGAAAGTGGCCAAGGATGGGCCGAGGAGGCAGGGATGCAAGGGTACCCTTGGGAAAGTGGCCCATCATTACTATGCGGATTGACTGTGCACGATTTCCCCGGGGGGCCGTAGGCGACCCGGGGAGGAGGATAAGGAGGAGGAGGAGGAGGAGGAGGAGGAGGGGGAGGAGGGGGGAGGGGGAGGGGAGGGGAGGAGAGATGGAGGAGGAGGAGGAAGAGATGGAGGAGGAGGAGGAGGAGGAGGAGGAGGAGGAGGAGGAGGAGGACGAGGAGGGGTCGCCTAAGCCCTTCGGAGAAACCTTCCAATTGACTGTAGCCGAGCGGAGTCAGCTTCGACCGGAAGAGGTGCGCTCTCGACCCGCGGATCAAAAAAATGTAGCCGAGCGGAGCGTGGCGAGCGAGGCAGCGCGGATCTGGCTCCCGCCGCCCGCCGCGACTTTGCGGCGAGCGAGGCGTGGAGGCGAGCAGGAGAAGGTCACCTCAGCCGGCGGCGGGGCGTCTCGGAGGAAGCTTCTGCGCCTTCGGGGAAGGCCCTCGGACGGCTGGGCGACTTCCGAGCCTTCTGAGAAGGCCCGCCGCCTCCCACCTTTCTCCGGGGCCGCTCGCCGATTCTGCGCTCAGAACCTGGGACAGAAGAGCATCCTTCGAGAACCGGAGGCCCTCCGCCGGCCAAAAAACACACAGGACATCCAAGGGCCCGTGCCCCCCCGCAGGATGCACAAGAACACCCAACGAAGACGAAGGACATCAGGGTAGCCTTCCCGAGCCGACCTCGACTTTACGCCTCGGCCCGACCGTGTTTCTCTTCGCCTCCGCCCAGCACTCGAGGGTCCTCCGCGAGGGCCTGCAGGGCCTCGTCCCGCGCGCGCTGGCCGCCGTCGGCCTCCGCAGGCAGCGCCGAACAGGGGGGCCACCACCCCAGGGGCGTCGCACGCCCTCGAGGGTTTCTCCGAAGGGCTTTGGCCACCCGTCCTCCTCCTTCCTCCTCCTCCTCCTCCTCCTCCCTCCTCCTCCTCTTCCTCCTCCTCTTCCTCCTCCTCCTCCTCCTCCTCCTCCTCCATCTCCTCCTCCTTCCCCACCTCTCCTCCACCTCGTCCTCCTCCTCGTCCTCCTCCTCTTCTTCCTCCTCCTCCTCCTCCTCCTCCTCCATCTCCTCCTCCTTCCCCACCTCTCCTCCACCTCCTCCTCCTCCTCATCCTCCTCGAGTCGCCTACGGCCCGGGGGGAAACCATGCACCCCCCCCCTTGACATGCTCGCGTCGCGAAACAAAACTCACGACGGGCACCTTTTCCTATACTTTCCGGCTCTGGGGGCCCTCACCGGCCCCCGGGGCCGTCATACAACGACTCGGGAGGGAGTATGTCTGAGTATGTCTTGAGAAGGGAGCGACCGTCCAGGCATCCCTATAGGCCTACCACGACACTTTCCCAGAAGGCCAAACAGTTCTCAGAACAAAAACAATGCCCTTAGAACAAAAGCCCGATGTGTTTAAATAAGACCGTCTCGGCCAGAAATGTTCTAAGAACCTGTCGTGCAAACCACAAAAGGTTCTCCCTCGACCTCCCAACCGCCGAACGGGGGATGCCGCGCAGCAGCGGCCGCCAGAGCGGCCACGGTCCAGCCCACCATCGAGGCGGCAGCGGCGGTCTCGGCGGTCTCCGCGGCCGCGCCGCGGCGGCAACTGCTGCGCGGAAGGTCCGGAAGGCGGAGGTCGAGGGCTTAGAACATTCTTTGCTGGGCCTATAAGCAAACCAAGACGCTTCGCCACTGCCAAGACCCCCGACATCGTGATTTCTTCACACCGTCGACCCCCAAAGGTCTTGACCCATTCCCCGGGACTGGTATCTCATCCTGAGTCGTTTCTGGACGGCCCCGAGGCCCGGCACGGGCCCCCAGAGGCCGAAAACAGCGAAACATCTCCCGGCGCTATTTTTGCATGACTCGATCGGGGTCTGGGGATGGAGCATGTCTGGGTATGTCTGCCCCGACTTGGCACTGCCCGGCCTGCGCCGGCGGCGGTCGCGGCTGCTCGACGGCGCCACCCCGCGGCGCCGCCGCGCCGCTCCGCGCCAGCACGCCGCCGGACACGACGCCGGCGAGGCGGGGCGAGGCGGGCGCCGCGGCGCCCCCGCCGAGCTGCTGGAGGATCCGCGGGGCCGCCCGCGGGGGGCGGCCGGCGCCGGGCGAGTCACCCGCCTCAGCCCTGCACTGATCTACCTTCGACCTCCACCTTCCGAGCCTTCGGCGCAGCTGCTGCCGCCGCGGTGCGGCCGCGGAGACCTCCAAGATGGGGTCCGAGTAGATGGGGTCGGAGGACCTCGCCGAATCGCCGATGCATCGACGATGCATCGCCGATGCATCGGCGATGGATCGGCGATGCACGGACGACGTCGGCGATTCCTCGGCGCCATCGGCGTGGAGAAAAGTGGGCCCCTCATCGAGCCGCATGGCCGATGCATCGGCGATGCGGCGCGATCCTCCGACCCCATCCACTCCGGCCCCCACCTGGGAGGCCCAGATAATTACCCCTCCTTGGGTCACCGCGGTGGTTGCTAAGAGGATCGGGGTGGTTACAAGTGGGCGGCGATCAGATAGGGTCCTTACGCCGAGATGACACGGCAACCTTGCGCAGCGACTGCTTACATATGGCCAAGCATCGCGTAGAAGTAGGTTAATTAGAACTGCCCTGAAAAGCTCGGGGATAGTAGAGATCCAGGCTAAGTGGACTTCGCCCACTTAGCGGAGCTGTCAAATCCATTCAAGCCACTAAGGGCACTTGCAGCCCACTTCCCAGACCCCCGACGTCATGTTTTTTTCATGATGCGACCCCCAGAGGTCCAGACCCATTCCCAAGGACCTGTTTTTCATCCTGAATCTTGTTTGGGCGGTCCCGAGGCCCGGTAAGGGGCCCCCAGAGGCCGAAAATAGCGACAAACCTCCCGTCGTGCTTTTTCCACAACGCGAGGGGGTCTGAGTTATAAGCTAGGTTGCGCCAGGTGTAACCCATTTTTGCTGCAGACACTTATCACCTCACTGTCCCCTGTGGCATCCCTGGCGGGGATCGAAGCACTCCTCAGGATCTCTCTCTCTCTCTCTCGAATTTTGCTAGGTCCAGACCCCCCTCGCGCCGTGAAAACGCACGGCAGGCCTTTGTGCCCTCACCGGGCCCCAGGATGGAACGCTGGTCCCAGGAAAGGGGTCGGGAGTTTCTGGGGCCGACGCTGTGCAAGAATCACCACGTCGGGGTTCTTGGTGTTCATGTTTTCGGTTGAGTTCAGACGTTCTCGCCTGTTCCTGGAGGCTTACCTACTCGGGTGATGCTAGTCCCAGACCCCCTCGTGTCGAAAAAAAACAACGGAACTTTAATGCAATATTTTCGGGCTCTGGGGGCCATGACCAGGCCCTGGAACTGTCAAACAACCGCCCAGGATGAGGCACCGGTCCCAGGAAAGGGGTCGGGACTTCTGGGGTCGACGTTATGAATAAAACACAACGTCGGGGGTCTGGGAATTCGGATGTTTCCGGTTGAGGTTTTGATTTGGCCCGTTCCTGAAGGTTTCCCTACTTGGGTGTTGCTAGGCCCAGACCCCTTCGCGTCGTGAAAAAAACAAGCGCGACGTACGGTCTGTCGCTATTTCCGGCTTCTGGCATCGCGAAAAATACGACGCAAGACTGTTTGCTATTTTCGGGCCATTGGGGCCCTCGCCAAGCCCCTGGACAGTCAAGTTATGCTACCGGAATCCCCCACATGAGGCTGAGGCGGGGCCTCCGCTGGACGGGTGGACGGGCACGAAACCTAGGAGGCAGCACGGTATCTGAACACCCTTGTCGCTCAGGGGACGCATCTTTGGAGACACGGGAGGGCACGAAACCTGCGAGCTTTAACGAAAACTGCGCCCGGCAGCGTGCTGTTGCAGCGCAGAGCAGCTCCTGGGGGGAGCAAGAGCAGGAAAACCGATACAGTGGGACGGAAGGAGAAGAGGAAGGAGAAGAGGAAAGGCAGACAATAGCGAAGATGACTATGGTAATTGCGGGTGCGTGGGGTGACGTATCTTCGGCGCTCCTGTTTTCACGTGTACACATGGCTGCAACTCCATGTGAATCCAAGATCAATCAATAACCTCCAGGACTCCGTCCGAGGTTCTAGCACGCGCAAAGGCGCGCGGAGGCCGCCCTGCATAATGACCATCTCACACCTCGACAAGGATGGAAAGCTGGCCCCAGGGAGGTGGTCGAGACCTCTAGGGGTCGATAGTGTGAAACATATCGAATCATTTCGAATTCTATCGGCAAGGGATTTCAAACGTTTCCGCCCGATCGTACAAATTGTCCCGCCTCGGGATGCGGTCCAATAGCTGCGCGCCGCCGACGGCGTGCAGAAGGCCGGAGTCATGTCCCGAAAACCAGATCCTCTCCCGCAGTGGCACAAGAAAACCAATGGCTTTGTTTTAGCTACCCGCCAATCGGAAAAAAAACACGTGGAACCGTGAAGTAGAAATGCGTGTGCAGTAAATTGGGCTCGGGCCCGCCCAAAAAGTAACACAAAACAGCAAACACATATCGACCCTTGAAGTGGAAAGGCGCGCTCATAGTAGATTGAGACTTGGAATTCCAGGAGTCCATACTTTGTTTCGACCGTCGTGTATTCTCGGCCTCTCATCCTGGGCAGCATCCTACTCGTCCCCCTGCTGGTGTGCTTGTGGACGTGGTCCTGCCCCGAAGTGTCCCCCGCTTGCTCCTCGCGCCACTATTTTTCGTTTAAAACTCAAACAAATAATAACAAAAATACGCGACCCCCAGAGGTCCGGACCTATTCGCCGGGACCGGTTTTTCATCCTGAGTCGTTTTTCTGACAGTCCCGACAGCCGGTAAGGGCCTCCCAAAGCCGAAAATATAGAAAAACCGTCCGTCGCGTTTTTTTCATGACTCGAGGGGGTCTGGGAGTGGGGCCCTCTGGACCTTGTGAGGGGTGCTCCTGGAGGCCATCCGGGCTTCCCCAAACGGCCCTGGGGCGCCCGGGCCAGAAACACCTCTGGCAACCCCCGGCCTCGTCCTCCTGCACGGGTTTCCCCCGGGGCCGTTGGCGACCCGAGGAAGAGTAGGAGGAGGAGGAGGAGGAGGAGGAGGAGGAGGAGGAGGAGGAGGAGGAGGTTGAGGAGGAAGCGAAGCGAAGCGAAGCGAAGCGAAGGCGCCGGAGTCGGGCACACTGGTGTGCCAGTGCCCTTTAGGGCATGGCGCAGGAGGCCGTGGCCTCACATCTCGTGCGAGTAGAAATCGTGGGCGAAATACTGCAGGAACCAGTACACAAAGAAGGCAAGGAACAATATGCGTATGAACCACAAGAAAAAGAAGACGTGGTAGAAGATGTTCGCGGACCAGATCAGAGTCGAATCGGTGCGGTCGGTGTCCTGGCTGCTGCTGTTGTGTTGCTGTTGGTGTATAGTGACTATGGCCAGGGGCTGCCTGGCCTCAAAGAAACGGATGATAGCTCGATGAACTCGCCCGGCATGAGTACAGCAGGGCCGAATACAGTATATCTGACACCACAGGTCAGACAACCACCATACCAAGAAATAGGAGGAGAAGGAGGAGGAGGACGAGGATGAGGGGGGAGGAAGAGACGGAGGAGGAGGAGGAGGAGGAGGAGGAGGAGGGAGGAGGAGGAGAAGCGAGAGGAGGAGGAGGAGGAGGAGGAGCGAGGAGGAGCGAGAGGGAGGAGGAGGAGGAGGAGGAGGAGAGAGGAAGAGGAGGAGAGGAGGAGGAGGGAGGAAGTGGAGGAGGAGGAGGCGGAGGACGGGTCGCCTCAGCCTTTCGGAGAACCTCCCCACGTCCTCCTCCTCCTCCTCCTCCTCCTCCTCCTCCTCCTCCTCCTCCTCCTCCTCAATCATCTTTACAACGCTCGTCCTCATTCCAGGTCCTCCTCCGTCTCCTCCGCCGTGCTCGTCGTTGCCTTCATCGTTCTCGTCCTTGTGGTCCTTCTACGAGCCCTCCGCCTCTCCTCTCTCGTCTTCCCCGCGACTGGCCTCGTGCTTGTCCATTTGTCTTCAGAATCGAAAATCGTGACAGGAGATCTGATGACAAGATTCTCCAGGTGCTGCCATCCCTCGGACGTCCATGCCCAGTGCAATGTTCGGTTCTGTGCGTTGATTTCTTGCATCGAAGAGTGATCCAATATGCTCCTCGATGGTCCTCGCCGAGAAAGAAAAACACACACGTTCGAGCGATACCCAGTGAAGACCTGGTCGGCTAGACGTAAGAGTGACCCTGGGCAAGAGTGACCTCTGATGCGCGGTTCAAAGGGGGACGAGGGGTGGCCAAACTAGGGCGCGCAAGCCGCTGCC